TCTTACCCTTAGGTAGATGTGCAAGTGTCCAAGTGTCGTTCTTCTGAAGAGACCGCATCTCCTCCTCCATAGCTTCCCTCCACCTGATCGAATCGGGGCTAGACTCTACCTTCCTGAATATGGATGGAACCATATCATCAACGACCTTTATTGATAATGCATATGCGAACATGACATCATTATACCTAGCTGACCGACGAATTACTCTCCTCGGTCTATCTGCTGCAATGGACCCCTGAACATGACCCTATTCCTAAGTCCCATAATCTACTGTATTCTCTATCTGTTCGGCTGTCATCTCATCTCCTCCCAGTGTTACCTCTGTAGGAGCCTCGATGGATACAATACTCTCTGGAGTGGGTGGAGTCACATCATCCTCCACCTGCTATGATATCTCTCCTGTCTGGTCTCCCTCTACCTGCTGAGGGACTTGAGGCCTCATCATGTACGCCTCATCAAATATGACATCTCTGTTAATAACTATCTTCTTGTCCTGTGGATCCCATAACTTGAAGCATTTGACTCCATCTCTAAATCCTACTAAGACTGCTTTCCTCACCCTCGGATTTATTTTACCATCACTGACATGGTAATAAGCTGGACACCCAAATATCCGAAGCAACTCATAGTCACTAGCCACCGAACCAAACCAACGCTACAAAAGGAGTCTTCTCGTCTATCGCAGTGCACGACAACCTATTCACGAGATGGCTCGCATAAACCAATGCCTCGACCCAAAAGGATCTAGGCAATCCACTCTACGTCATCATACATCGCACCTTCTTCAGTAAGGTATGGTTCAATCTCTCGGCCACTCCGTTCTGTTGCGGTGTCTCTCGAACTGTGAAGTATCTTCTAATGCTGTGATCCCGGCAAAACTGTAGAAACGGATTACTCTTGTACTCTCCACCGTTATCTGAACGTAGAGTCTTCACCTTTCTACCTGTCTGCAGCTTCATTTTCTCTTCCACTCCATAAAAATATCCAAGACCTGATGTTTATGCTTCATAGGGTATACCCAATTTCTCCGGGAATAGTTATTAATGAAAGTAACAAAATAGTTGGCCCCACCAAGAGATGTGTTTTTGGAAGGGCCCCAAATATCTGTGTGAATGTAATCAAATGTATCTCGGGTGTTGTGAAAAGCGGTGCCAAACTTCACTCTAGTTTTCTTCCCGAGTACGCAATACTCACACAGCTCCATCTTGCAGGTCTTAGTACCTTTCAATAGCCCCTGTTTCGCCAATGACTGTAGGGACTTATCTCCTGTGTGTCTATGTCTCATATGTCATAAAGTGGTAGTGTCCTCCTCTATAGTGATAGAAGCTGCCAGACCCCCTGTAACTGTCTTGCCCTTCAAGTAGTATAGGTTGTTTTCTATGACATATTGCATCACCACCATAGAGCCCTTCGTGACCTTCACTGTAGCATCCTCTAAGATCACTCAATATCCTACTGCCTCCGAAGTCCCAAGAGAAATGATGTTCTTTGTCAACTGCGGCACGAAACTTACTTCCTTCAACTCATTCACTATACCGTCATGCATTCTAATCCGGACTGAACCAATACCACCAATAGGGCATATGTGGTCATTACCCATAAGTACGACATCCCCTCTTTCCAACTCCTCATAGCTAGAGAACCACTCCCTCTTAGGGCAGATGTGATATGTAGCTCCCGAATCCATCATTCACTCCGTGGAATCCACATAGCAAACCGACGGTAATGCAAGACATGAATAGCCTAAAGAATCTGAATCTGAATGCTCACCAATAGCTTTTGCAATATTCACTTCTGAAGCTAATCTGAATGCTCACCAATAGCTTTTGCAATATTCACTTCTGAAGCTTGTGCAGCTTTCCCCTTATTCTTCCTAGCTTTTTCTTTCCACTTTGGGCAGTCTTCTGAAGCTTGTGCAGCTTTCCCCTTATTCTTCCTAGCTTTTTCTTTCCACTTTGGGCAGTCAATCTTCCAATATCCTTCTTCTTTACAATACCGACATTAAGATCTACCAACACTCTTATAGGCACTCCTATTCTTTGACTTTGAACGGTTGAACTAGCGACGGTTTAGATCACGACCCCTAACAGCTAATGCATCTCGTGATGCCTTCTCGGAAGGTTCACCATCGCTCTTCCTCAACTCATAATTCACCAAAACTGAGGTCACCTCCTTATAGCTAACTGTAGTTCTTTCATTGATCATAGTTAGAACAAACGTATCATAATCATCCTCGGACAACGAATACAGAAGTAACATCGCCTTATCTTTATCCTCAACTATGATGTCCACATTGGCCATATCTAAAAGTAGCTTAGTGGAATTGTTGACATGCTCCCTGATGGAAACTCCCCTCTTCATCTTGAACTGGTAAAACCTCTTCTTAAAGTGAAGCCGATTCTTAATGCTTTTCATAAGTACTTCTCATTGAGTGTTTCCCACATCTTCTTCGCCGACGTCTCATTCATAACATCATAAATAAGATCCGGCATCAAGTATGACCTAATAACACCATAAGCTCTACTGTTCATCTTCCTCCAAACCTTATCCTCCATGTCAGCGGGTTTCTTTTTTAACTCAAGAGTCTCCTCCAAATTCTATGCATCCAAGGCATCCATCACTTGACACCTCCACAATACGAAATTGATCTTACCGTCGAACTTCAGAACATCAATCTTCGTGTTATTGATGCTCAGACTCTGTATCTCCTTCGTAAGAGATGAAGCTGATGTGCTTGCATCTCCCATGTTGTCGATCTAACTCTTCAGATAGGAATCTTCACCGAATCCTTCAAACAAGCCTGAAGTTCTGATACCAATTGTTGTGCGAGGTGGAAGCTTCAAGGAGCGACACGAACAATCCAAGAGATAAACCACAACCAATAAGCAAATCACAACCACAGCAAGAACAAATGATTTACGTGGTTCGGCAAGTTGCCTACGTCCATGGGATAAGGAGGGAGGGAGTTCTTACTATTAGAAATCAAGAGAATACAAATAGAGTTACAAATCTCCTTGCTTAAACCCAAAATTGGATGCAGCAATCCTCTCCAAAAGACTGCTTAAAATCATCCTTGCTTAAACCCTAATTAATCAGGTTTAGGGTTATATATCAACTCAGAAATGAACCGAATCAAAATCCAAAGCCCAGCCCAAAATCCATCTGCGGTCGACCGCGCAGGTCTTGCGGTCGACCACACGAAGCTCGCGATCGACCGAACACCCCCCGACAGAGAACCAAATCCGACAGTCAAACTCGCGGTCGACTGTGGCGGTCGACCGAACTGATTTCCCGAGAGATAATCACCTACAGGGTCCCCGTGGTCGACCGCCAGCTTGGCTGATTCTTCTGCTGTTTTCCTGCACTCTCTCGCCATTCCTTCAATATCCCTACAGTTTCAAATAATAACAAACATATATTTAAGCCTGATTTGTGTTTGGAATGATTTCCAATGCTAGCCATAGCTGCAAGTGGGGTTCACTCGCGCTGTGGCTGGCACACCTGTCCCTAAAGGGCCAGGTGTCCTAGCCACAGTGCGCGTGAGCCCCCCACGCGACTTGTGGTTAGCACTCTTGTTGAGATGATTAGTGCCGGTTTATAAATTTAGAATTGATATTGACAAATGAGATGAACTTTAGCTCAACAGATGAGTAAACTCATCGATGAACAAAATGGTCATTGATGAACAGAAGTCAACAATGAGTTCATATGCTCATCAATGAACGTGCTACAAATTCATCGATTCATAAGCTTCTATCGATTGATTTTAATAGAACACCTTATCTCTCATCGATGAGTGCATCTCTCATCAATGAGGCATGGTCATTGGTTAGAGATTCGTAAGCCCCTGTCAATCAAGGAAAAAGGCAAATGATGCATATATCAATGAGCAGTTGACCCATTGATGAGCCAATGCCTCTCAATATTGAGTATAGTTACTCATCAATGAGTCTAGGTCGAAAATTCAAATTTCAGAGTTCAATCTCAGCCGTTC